AGCAACAGCAGAAACAACAAAAACAAACGAAGGTGCTTCTATCCCCTAAATTAAATAAATCTAATACTGATTCACCAGCAGCAGCAGCAGCAGCAGCAGCAGCAGCAACAGCAGCAGCAGCAACAACAACAACAGCAGCAACAGGACGGGCAGCTGGTATCACATCGTCTTGCTGTTTAGTGCAGCAGCAACAGCCGCAACAGCAACAACAGCAGCAACAGCAGCACAACAAACAGCCACTTTCTGTGGGAAATTCACCTGCTGCAGCTGCTGCAGCAGCAACAACAGCAGCAAAAACAGCAGCAGCAGCAGCAGCAGCAACAGGTGCTTCTCTCTTTGGCTCTTCTTCCGTCTCGCCGCAGCATATCGACCAGTAGTAGACATCACAGCGTAGCAGCAACAGCAGCAACAGCAGCAGCAGCAGCAGCAACAGCAGCAGCAGCAGCAGCAACAGCAGCAGCAAGAGCAATAACAGCAACAGGAACAACAGCAGTAGAAGGGGCTGCTGCAGTTGCTGCTGATGCAGCAGAGGGATTTGCTGCTGCAGCTCCAGCGAATACATTTAGTAGCAGCAGCAGCAGCAACAGTAGCAGCAGTAGCTGCTGCTGATGCTGCTGCAGATAATGCTGCAATAATAATTATTGGCATCACGTGCAGCGGCTGCAGCAGCAGCAGCAGCAAAATAGCTGTACACACAACAGCAGCAGCAGCAGCTGCAGCAGCAGCAAAATAGCTGCACTCACAGCAGCTGTAGCTGCTGCAGCAACAGCAGCAACCGCTGGTGCTGCAGCAGCGGCAGCTAAATAGCTGCAGTAGCGGCAGCGGTAACATCAGCAGCAACAGCAGCAGCAGCAGCAACTGCTGCTGCTGCTGCTGCTGATATAAATATACTGTCATTCGTTTCTCCGTCTCTTTTTATATAAAGGGTTTCCTCTAAGGAATAATAAACCCTAAACCCTAAACCCTAAACCCTAATTTAGGGTTTAATGTGTCAGGTGTACTACACAGTTTGCTAATTGCTGCTGCTGCTGCTGTTGCTGCTGCTACTGCTGCTGGTGTTCTAGATTGCTGCTGTAGCTGTTACCAGGGATTTCTGCTGCTGCTGCTGCTGCTGCTGCTGTTGCTGCTGCTGTTGCTGCAGCTGTTGGTACTGTACAAATTACCTGACGGGTATTTTAAAAATTGCTGCTGCTGCCGCAGCAGCAGCAGCAGCAACAACAGCAGCAACAGCAGCAGCAAGCGCTCTGCTTGCTGCTGCTGCTGTTGCTGCTACATTTGTTTTCGTCGCTTTGCGATTACTTAAAAATTTCAATTGTGCACTGCTGCACTTGCTGCTGCTGCACCTGCTGCTGCTGCTGCTGCAACAGGAGCAAGTGCAGCAGCAGCAGCAGCAGCACCTGCTGCAGCAGCAGCAGCAGCAGCAGCAGCAGCAGTTTAGGTTTTATCTCTTGGACTCCCTAGAGTTCTCCCTTCTCCTCTGAAGGGTACGAATGTACACTCGGGCGCAATAATGGGTATTTGCTGCTGCTGCTGCTGCAGCTGCTGCTGGATTTGTTGCTGCTGCTGCAGTTGTTGTTGCAACAGTATCTGCTGCTGTAGCTGCTGATGCAGCAGCAACGGTGTATCCTCAGCAGCAGTAGCAGCAAAAGAATGAATCATTAAATCCCCTTCTTGTATTACTGATGGTAATCGTGCCTTATAAAGCTTCCATGCTATCCATGCTGTTAATAAACTGCAAATACACATAAACCCTAAACCCTAAACCCTAGAAACCCTAAACCCTAAACCCTCGAAACCCTAAACCCTAGAAATCATAAAAATATAAAGAATACAGAATATAAAATATTATAGGCATCAACAATACAAACCCTAAACCCTAGGTACTATAAAGTATACACTTTAAACCCCAGAGACTCCAAACCCTAAACCCTAAACCCTAAACCCTAAACCCTAAACCCTAAACCCTAAAAAAACATACCATACAATAGGACTAAAGCAGAAGGTGAACAATTCAATATAAATCTGAAATAATGCTGGGGCCCTTTCTGGTGGTAAATAAGCATCTGTACCCTGGGGCCCCCCAAACCCTCCTAAAGGGGCCCCCCCACCAATGGGCCCCCCACTCCAATGGGGCCCCCCAGCAAGCCCTCCACCCCCAC